GTAATCCATGTTTCTCTCCTGAAATCAGTGTTAGTAGTATTTTTTAGTAAGTTGTTGTACACATGTGGTTAATTGTGGCATAAAATGGCATCTTTTTATTGTTTTCATATTCTGTGGAACCTGTTTTCAGCCATCAACCTGTAGATAGCAGTCATCCTGCAATTTCCCTTGGGTGACCACTAAAACAGGTTTGACTGCAGGTGCTCTTACCAAAGCCAGTGAACTCAGAGTCTTCTCTCCACCTGATAGATTAGAGATATTCTTCCAGCTCTTCTTTGGTGGCCTCACACTAGAAAATGAGACCAATATTTCTACAAAATGTTTCTCAAACCACCTTGACAATTAACATTTTGTTTAATCTCTATCACAGAGATTCCATTTCACATTTATACAAAATATACTACAGAAAAGTTATATAAATTCACTTATTTTGATGTTTTTGGGAATAAGGTAATTACTTATTGATTAGTTTTCTTCCATTCAGTACAGTTTCTATTTCAGGCATAAATCAGTCATAAAAAAGCTCATGGTGAAAAACTAGTAACAAAGTGTTATTGATTGTCTAATGTTGAAGACACTTCCAAAGTAGATTGTGGTGTTTTGCCTGCACAGCGCTAGTATTTTTCCTGCAGTGAAGTTGATACCACCTATGCAAGGTAAAGAAGTGATACAAAAAGAATTTCCCCAAACATTAAGGGACAGTGGAAAAGGTATTGTAGAAGCACAGATGCCCACCAACAAGAGATTTGTAGGGGAAAATATCTTCAAAGTGCAGAAAACTGGGCAGAGTATAATGATTTGTAGGATGACACATCACCATATGACATTTGTATTTAAAGATTTGTACAAAGCAGTACCGGAGCAGAAACAATAGGACATCTTTCCCCTACTAGGTTTAAGCTCCAACCCAACCCTGCTCCCTCCCACTTCTCAGTAAACAGGACAGACCACATCACAGTAATCTGGTGAATGGGTTCTTAACGTTCTCTGCCAAACCAAATTAACTAATTAATAGATGCAGGAGATGGGACCTACAGTTTACTTGTCCTAATCCGAGAAGACCAGAATGTCTATCCATTTTTTTGTGACCATCTGGGAACTGCCTGGCGGTGGCTTTGTCCCGGGTGGCTTTTCGGGTGAGAATAGGTTTTTTAAGAAGAACGTTTTCGAATTGATGTTTAAGGATTTTACAGTCAATAAATTTCTTGGTTTGGTTAATATTGGATTTAACACATTTCTTGATATCATAGAAAGGTAGCACATTCTCCCCAGTTATTTTATGACCTTGAGTGTTGGTCCGGCTGGGGCTCAAACCCTCAACCTCCTGCACGACAGTCCAGTCCTTTAGCTAGATGAAGGGTAGGCAGTTGAAACACCAAATCCACAAAAGTGACTATTTCATGAGACAAACTAGCACATTTCAATAAGACTTTAGTACTATAGTAATGAGATGAGGTAACACGGTATTTCATTATACAGCCAGCAGCCTGCGTGGGCAATATGTGGCAATATAAAAATTAGATATGGGCTTGATGGGCCCTGATCTTGCTCACTTGGGATTTCCTGCCTTGATCCCACCCTAGAAAAAGACTGAGTGGAGCAGACTTACAAAGAGCGTTATTTTTTTTAACAAGGACAATAACAGATGCAAAAAATGAAGAGGAAAAAAAAAAAAGAAACATTAAACTACTCCCATGGGT